CCCTTTCGAATCGTCTCGAAAAAACTTACCAACTCCTCGATCCTTATCCTTGAAAGAATTCCTCCTTTCGTGAAACGGTGAATCAAGAAGAACGAAATAAAAGCAGTTAACTCATTGAGGTCTCACACTTGACATTTATTTCACTTTTAGTTTTTAGCTCATAGACAGATTCGCTCGTGTTCATAGAGTATAAATTAAATGTAAATTAAAAAAAAAGAAAAAGAAAAGAGAGAAATGCGTATAAGAGGTTAAGGATTTAACGATTAATATTATAAATTCTTACGAGACTAAGGATAATATATTGGCATGATCGAAAGACTTGCACGCTCTATTTACCTTAAAATATCTCTCGAGTATCAAATATATACCGTGACAAAAGCGAGATTTTCTTTAAAAAAAAAAAATCGTCGTGGTGTAATGAAATAAGAAGATAAAACAAAACAAAAAAAAAAAAAAAAAGAAGAGCTTACGTGAATTATGCGTGAATTATCGTTAATTTATTTTTAAGTTAAAACCTTTTTTTACAACGATATCTTACAATGTCGCTTTATACATGTCCACGAAAAATCAGTGTCGCCACGAAACGCCCATCATCGATCGAATTCGATTCGTTGAGACATCCCTCTCGCGTCCTCTTCCTTCCTTCCACGAGATGTGACCATCGATACACGCGCCTGGATCGTATCTTCCATCCATTACACGCCTCCGCTTTCGTCCTGTCACCCTTTCCTCGTCCAACTCTCGCTAGTTCGTGTGTGTATTGTATTCCTTTTTCCTTTTCTTCCTCTCTCTTTATACAGTCTACACGCTACTCCCTAATAATACTATTTTATTAGAATAACCTGCCCCCCTCGTCTGCCTCTCCCTTCGTCTCTACTCACTGTGATCCGCTGTGTTCGCGAGAAAAGTGGGGCCGGCGTCTCGCGGACAACATCCCTTTCTTTCTCCCTCCTTCGTACGCTCGTCAGTCTTTTCTTTATTTTTTTTTTTTTTTCTTCGAAATCTCACACCACCCCATCCCCTGTGTTCGTTGTCGCCGCCGCTTCCTTCGATCTCGAAAAGATTCTCGGATCCATCGCATTTCGACTTCGAGACCAGTGCCTCCCCGCGTTTATCAATAATCGTATATCCTTATGTATTTAGTCTCGTTACAAAAATTTTTTTCACGCGTACTAAAAATATCGAAAGAGACTGCCGAGTTCGACACTGAGAAACACTGTTCTCCCAAGTCATCTATTCGAAGGAGATATTTGGATCGTAGCTCGTACTCGTCGTACCTTTCGATTCGTGGAAAAGGTGGATACGGATCGGAAATTTATAAATTTCGAATCCCACCACCAAATCGTAACAGCATCGTGCTACGAGAGCTGCAATCGAGCTTGAAAAACACGATCAAACTTATCGAAGTTCGGGGGTGATATCCTTCCAAAAATTGAAGAGAGAGAGAGAGAGAAAAAAGAAAATTCGTAAAAAGAAGGTAAGAATTGGGAATTTTGAAATGCGAGGGATCGCGATCGGTCGGTTGGATCGAGATCGATGGCGAAGAGGGGCGCCGAGGGGTTTTCTTTCTCCGTTTTTCGGTGGTGGAAACGCGGCCTCAAGCAAGATCGAGAAAAGAAAGGATCGAATCTGGCCGGCTCGTGCCGAGTGTGTGCCCGCGCGATTAATTAATTAATTAATTAGAGAAGGAGAGATTAATGAATAATCGGCGATACCGGCCGATCGGCGACCACGATAATAGTAATAAGAATAATAATGATAATCGTCATTCACGGCTATTAACCTTTCTCGCTCGCGATAAATCGTTTTAATTACCATCGCGCGCTCCGACTATCTAGATGCAAATCTTACGATGCGCAATTAACCGCTAATTTATGCACAATCACTTTTACTCCTCTCTTCCCCCTCTTCCCCTCCCTTTTGACTCATTTTCGCTTTTCGCGCGCGCGCATACATTCACGCGAATTTCACATACACACGCACACGCGTCTTCTCTCTCTTTCTTAATTATTATTTATAATATTTATAATATTTATATTCATTTTTATATATATATATATAGTTACTTTTTTTATTTTATATATTATAATATTATATATATATATATATGTACTATTATTACAATGATAACGGTACACAATCTCGAAGATACAAAATTTACATTTTCGCGAATTTTATTTTTACCCTATTTTATTATTTTATTTTATTATTTGTTTACTTATTTATTCTTTTTTTTCTTTTTTTTTTTTTTCGTATTTTCGCTCTCGCATTTCTGCCAGTGCTCCGTCTCTCGTGTCCACAGTCCCATTTCTCCTTTCTCCCCCTCCTGGTACAATTTTCTTTTCCTTTTTTTTTTTTTGGTATTTCTTTCCTACCTTGGAAACGATTATTATTTTTTTTTTTTTTTTTTTCTTTTCTAATTCCGAATCTCGGGACTTTCTCGACTCCGCGATCTGGATCACCGGATCACAAAAATCCATATAATTTACCGACTTTTTTTTTTTCCTCTCTCTACGTGTGCTTTATACACCTAACGTTGCTGCTCCGCTATCGCTAAACGACACGACACACGACGACGCGATGGGCGTGCGAACGACTGGACGCCGATTCTCGTGCGCGGGGGAATAATATCCAAATAGACGGACCGAGCATTGTAGAACGGGAGCTGATGTCGCCACAATCGCGTTCCACACCGTACACTTCTTCCGTTGGAACCGTGGAAAATATTCCTTCGATCGATTGTTCAACCAACTATTTCTCTCCCCTCGTCGTCGAACGCGATCGAAAGCTTTACCCATTTAACGATCGATATTCCATCGATCGTAGATTAATAATGAACGAGTATATGGCGCCACAATCGCGTTCCACGGGGGGAGGGGAGGGAAAAATCCGTCACGCTTCGTTGAAAATATATAAGCACGCTTTCGATCGATCATTTAATTTTTCTCCTCGTCGTCGAGCGCGATTGAAAGCTTCCATTTCCAAACAACGTTCCATCGCTGTGAACTATCGACATGAACTATAATAGATCGCGGCGTTCCACGAGGAAGAATCGTCACGTTGGATATAAAATAAGTTTTACTCTCCTTCGCTACTGAATTTTGTCGGCGAGCAGATGGCGCCACCGCGTCGCGTTGGAAAAGGACCGCCATATCTCCTCCTTTTCCTTCTTTTCGGAATAACAATTTCGTACAAAACGTATGCATTCGATCGCGTTCAACTGTATTCCTCCTCGTGGAACGTGGCAAACCCCTAACGAAAAGGGGAAGAGGTTTCGATAGGGATCAGAGGAATCGGGGGGGGGGGGGAGGAAATGGGATGAAACGATGAATGAAAATCGGCGTCCAATGGCCCCTTCCCATTACTCGGGAAATTCTCGCGTTTCAATAAAAAGACTTTTTAAAATTGCACGATGTTTTCGCACGGATGATTGGATGATATACACGCTTACAAACTAGATATACACCTCGGCCTCCGAAGACCGATTCCGATTCTCCTAAAGGGTTTCATACCCTTTTCGAACAAAATTGAACACGTCGTATAATATATATATATATATATACATATACATATACATATACATATATATATATATATATGCTCGAATAAATAATTAATCCTCGCTCGTTCATCAGCCCTGTAAGAATCGTCTTCGAAGGAGCGATCCGCGACAAAATTGGGAAGGGAGTGGAGGTTTTAACGGATAGCCCCCCATTGTTTATTTATTTTTTTTTCCTTTTCTTTTTCTTCCTTTATTATTTCACGTCATGCACTCACGTTAATAGAAACTCTTGCGACTTTTATGTATGTATATATATATATATATATATATAATTGTTCGTCTTATATTTACAGGAGCACGTCTAATTAGACACGATACGAGTTTATTTAGCTTGACTTCGTTTGTACTTGGGGCCTGGGCTCGACTGCCCTCACCTTGTGCGCGAAACTTTACATATTTACATTTCGAGATCGCGAAACGAAAAAGGGGGGACGACAGATTCGAAAGAAAGAAACGAGAGAGGGAGAGAGAGAGAGAGAGAGAGAGAGAGAGAAGAAAAGAAAAAGGAGGGGG